GCCTGAAATTCTCTTTCTTTATTGGGTCTTTGTGAGGTTTAGGTCAAGGTGACTGTGGCTTCATAGATTGAGTTTGGTAGTGTTCCTTCTGTTTCTATTTTGTGGAATAGTTTGAAGAGAATTGGAGTTAGCTCTTCTTTGAAGGTTTGGTAGAATTCTGCGCTGAAACCATCTGGTCCTGAGCTTTTTTTGGATGGGAGACTTTTGATGACCGCTTCTATTTCCTTGGGGGATATAGGGCTATTTAATTGATTTACCTGGTCCTGATTCAGCTTTGGTAAGTCGAATAGATCAAGAAAATTGTCCATTTCATTTAGATTTTCAAATTTGTGGCATATAGACTTTTGAAGTAAGTCCTAATGATTGTTTGGATTTCCTCAGTGTCTGTGATTATGTCCCCCATTTCATTTCTGATTTTGTTGATTTGGATGGTGTCTCTCTGCCTTTTAGTTAGGTTGGCTAAGGGTTTGTCTGTCTTGTTGATTTTCTCAAAGAACCAGCTCTTGGTTTCATTGATTCTTTGAATTGTTTTATTTGTTTCTAATTGATTGATTTCAGCCCTGAGTTTGATTATTTCCAGCCGTCTACTCCTTTTTGGAGTGTCTGCTTCTTCTTTTAATAGGGTTTTTAAGTGAGCCATTAAGTTGCTTGAATGAGCTGTCTCGAATTTCTTCTTGAAGGCACTTAGTGCTATGAACTTTCCTCTTAGCACTGCCTTCATTGTGTCCCACAAGTTTGGGTATGTTGTGTCTTCATTTTCATTGAGATCTAGGAAGACTTTAATTTCTTTCTTTATTTCTTCCCTGACCCAGCTGTCATTTAGTAGCAAGTTGTTCGGTTTCCATGTGAGTGTAGGCCCTTTGCTATTTCTGTTGTTGAGGTCAAGACCATATTTTTTAAAATAATGTTTTATACATTTTTCTCTGTCTTGTTTTTATGAGGGAAGACTTTACATATCACAGGCTAGCCTTGAATTCCCAATGTAGAGGAGGCTTGCGTTGAACACTTGGCATTGTGCCTACCTCTTCCATGAACTCAAGTGATAGATGTGAGCCACCATTGTGAATGTCTTTTCTCTATATTTGTGAAATGGGGATCCGTTAGCCTTCTCCACTGCTGTTTTCTTCTCTCTCACTTACTCTTGTCTATGTCTTTTTTCTTTCTTTGTTAATGAGTACTTTGCCTTTATAGTTATCGGTGAACTACTTGCATGCCTGTTGCCTATTGACACTGGAGGAGGGAGTTGGGTCCCCTGGAACTGGAGTTGCAGAGGGTTGTAAGCCAAAAGGTGGGTGCTAGGAATTGAACCCAGGTCCTCTGGAAGAGCAATAAAAGAACAATAAAGACCAGTCTATTTAATTAATTTATCTTTTCTGTTTTTTTTTTTTGTCCCATGAATGCTCTTTATTATTTTGGTTGACTCTCTGGTTGACTGTGTCTCTGAATACAGCAAAGTTTAGAAATTTGTTTCTTTCCTTCCACCATGTGGGACACAGGGCATCAGACTGGACACCAAGTGACTGTCCTGGGACATAGTTACTAGAACTTATGATGTATAGGATTGTGTCTACTGGACTGTAGTCACTTTTCACTGGCCTTGATCCACTACTCAAAATGTATGATGTTCTTTCTCTTGTCTGTCTGAGGGAGGCAAGTGAGATTTCAGTGCCTTGGTCAGACCTGAAACAAGCTAGGAATCAGAAACCTGTTCCATTTTTAACATCTGGAGGAACAAGCCTGAACACCAGAGGCTGTCCTCCAAGTCAGGTCTTGCTGCTCTGTGTGTGAGCAGGGAGTGGAAAGCACAGCATCAAGACTTTTTCTCTTGTCCACCCAATCCTGGGAATCGAACTCACAGATCTGAGTAAGAACAACTGCTGTGAGCTGTGTTCCCAGCCCTTGCTGTTCTTGGTATACTTGCCTTCCATTTGTTATCTTTCTCAGTGCTGAATTTCAGCAATAGTTTGTGGGTTTCTCACCAAAGTTTCTTCTGGCACATCTTGTCTTGGTCAACACTCACCATGCATTCCCATTGGGAATATTTTCATCTTTCTGTTATTTCTGAGGAACTTATTCTACTGGGTGTCTTGACCAGCTTGAAATCTGTGGGTTAGAAATAGAATGTTGGGAGGACATCACTTGATACACAGATATATTGGGATATATTTGGAGTAGGGATATATTTGGAGTACGGATTGAGATTGAAAACAGCTAAGTGTAGTTTGGCTTCATACATGGAATATCTGCTATTCATGGAATTGATACTTTATAGAAAATTTATTATAGTGGACAAGGGGATAAAAAATTTAAAATATAGCCCCCCAAAAAGTTAATATGAAAAGGAACAGCTGTCACATTGTTACTTTTTGTTTTTCTTTCATGCTCATCTCAGTGGTATCAGTAGAAAGAGCCAAAGCATCCTTCCTCACACAGTATATGCTCTGCAGACTTCACATCTTTCCCCGTGTCGGAGCCACTTACACATCCTGATGCTTTCTCTAATGTATAGTCCCATTTTCACTCTCGCTGAAGCAGATATAAGTATTGTTTTATCACATTTCTGTGTGAAACTTAATCAGTTTCATCATTTCTGTTACCAGAGCAGATCTCTTTTGTATGTAAATATGTTTTGTATACAAACTCTTTTGTATGCAAAATATGTTAATTTTCTATACTTTTTTTTTCTAACCAGAAGGTTGTCTAAAATTGGATGAAATCTGACTTGTAAAGTTCACTTGGTTGTTGACAATGCCATAAAAGAAAAATAATCAAAAAGTGGGATATATTTTTGCATGAATTCTGTTCAGGTCCATAAAAGGGTAGAGTTCTGCTCCATTCCAGTTACTTTTTCTTTCTCCTTCTCCCCTTTTTTTTCTTCTTGAGACAGGGTTTCTCTATGTAACCTTGGCTGTCTTGGCTGTCCTAGAACTCTAGACCAGACTTATGTCGAACTCACGGAGATCCACCTGCTTCTGCTTCCATAGTGCTGAGATTAAAGGCTTGTGACACTCTCATCTGGCTTTGGTTACTTTTTTCATCCTTTCACTTTAAGGTAGTTCCTGCTTTTAAAACTAAGATTAATTTCTTTTCAACAACAGAAAGGTAGATTTTTGTGTTTTAATCCATCCAGTCAGCCTGTGTTGTGATAGGCTCCATTAATCTTTAAAGTTATTGCAAATTGTTCATGATTGCAGTCCTTTTGTTGTTGTCCCCTCTGTGCCTGCCACCACTATGAGGCAGGGTTTCTCTATGTAGCCTTGTCTGTCTTAGAACTCACTGTATAGACCAGGCTGGACTCGAACTCACAGATATCTGAGTGTCTGTGCTTTAGAGTGCTGGGATTAAAGGTGTGTACCACAACCACCTGGCTGTGTGTGTGTTGCTGTTTGCATTCTTAGTCATTATACTTTTCTTTGCTTTCTTCCTACAGTCTCTTTCCTAGCTATGATTATTCCTTTCTCCAGTCTAACGTCCTGATGCCAGTATTTTTTTTTTTTTTTTTTTTTTTTTTGGCGGTGGCGGGCTGGGGGGGGTTTATCCACATGAATTCTATTAGCCTGTTTGTGTCCTGGAAAGTTCTTCTTTCTCCTTCCAACTATATTAGATAATTTTGCTCAGTGCAATGGTCTAAGTTGGGATCTCAGGTCTTTTAGAACTTGGAATGAATTGTCCGAGGAACTTAATGGATTTCAAAACATTTCTGAAACTTAATGAACTTAAAGTAGTCCTATGATGGAAATTTATACCTTTAAGAGTATATGTTAAGAAATAACACAAATAAATGACTTCATGCCACAACTAAAGAATTAAAAAAAAAAAAAGAACAAACCAAACACAAATCCAGTGAACAAAAATGATAAAAATCAGCACATAAAGGAATGAAACAGAAACCAAGAAAACCAAAAACAACCAGTTATATTCAGAAATGCTTCTTGGGACAATAACAATAGAAATTTGGCTCAGCTGACTGAAAGGGAGAAAAGGATGATCAGGAAACACTACAGCAAACACCAGAGAAACCCATAGTCTTATAAGGGAATACTCCATTCCATCTCTTGACTCCTCTAACCCACTCGTATTAAACTAAGAGGAAATCAGCAACCTTAACAGACCATATAGATGAGTAGACTGAAACAGTGATGGGAAGGCACACAAAAAACAACTACCTCTCCCTTCAAAAACAAAAAACAGAGGCCTAAATGGATTCATGGAAGAATTCTAACAGGTGTTTAACAAAAATCGATAGTCATTTTTTTACATTCTATACTTCTTAAATCAAGAAAAGAAAAAAAAAAAAAAAAGGAAAGAAACGGAGAAACAAAGAAATAGCAGCACTTCCAAACTCCTACAAATTCAGTATTACTATTGAACTCTGTGCGTAGCAGGAAACCCAGACCTCAAGCCACAGAGCCTGAATCTGCATTTTCGTTTCATTTCACATTCATTGTTCTGTGTATACAGAAGTCATACAACTATGACTTTCTCCTGTGAGAAATGTGTATGAAGTGGTGCCTAATATGAGTATATGACTTACATTCCTCGTTAGATGCATTCATTTTACATTTTAGCATTCTTAACTGTATAATAGCTTTATGAATGTTTAGGTTTTTTGTTTGTTTGTTTGTTTTGTATTTTTGAGACAAGGTTTTTCTGTGTAGCCTTGGCTGTCCTGGAATTTGCTTTGCAAACAAGGCTGGCCTTGAACTCAGAGATGTGCTTGCTTCTGTCTCCCGAGTGCTGGGATCAAAGGCATGCGCCACCACTGCCTGGCCAGGATCTTTTGCATTCTCTTAACTTAGGGTGAGTACTGTGTGAGAGCATGTGACTACATCAAAAATAAATTAGTAATATCATTTACCCATGCAAGAAGCATTTCTAGCTCTTTTAGCCTCTGTAAACTTTAGAATAGTGTTCATGCATGTAATTACTATTGGTATTTATATCGTTATTAATGGTTTAAATTAGTTTGGGTGGTATTCATTCATTGATCTTTGTTTCAGAAAATGCTGTCATTCAAGGATGTGGCCATTACTTTCTCTCCAGAAGAGTGGAAATACCTGCGGCCTGTTCAGTGGAATCTGTACAGGGATGTGATGTTGGAAAACTACAGCAACCTTGTGTTTCTGGGTGACAATCACTTCCATAATGAATTCCTAATTCACTGTCAAGATGTAATGTCCTTTTATAGGAATCTCATGGGAGCTTGCACTTTCTAATTGGCTTGTTCACCTGCCCTAAGTTTCTCTGGCTGCCCTGGCACTTGCTCTGTAGACCAGGCTAGCCTCAAACTCAGATATGCCTGTTCTGCCTTCCAAGTGCTGTGGTTAAAGGTGTATGCCACTATGTCCAGGTCACAGTCCTGCTTTTAAGGAAGAATTGTTGGTATAACAAATTTCATCTTGTATTTTTAACCTATTTATTTCAGTGTGTGCATTCTTCACTATAGTTGTAATGCCAGACATTAAATGGAATGGGGCATGGAACACACATGGAAAAGAAAATGTTATATTCTTGTATGACTTTATAATTTTCCTTGTAAATGACAGAAATGAACATCTGTGATTATAAACTCCTAAGTATTCTAAAATTTCCTTCAGGAATGATTTGGGGTGCTCATTTTCTACAATCATAGATTATGTCTTGTTTTTCCTTATAAGCACAATACTGGAAAGAAAATGTTAATTTTCTTCTTTTCCCCTTTCCACAGGCCTTTCTTTGTCCAAGCCATTGTTGGTCAGATTTCTGGAGAAAAACCAAGAGCTTCGGAATATGAAGAGAAAAGCAGCAGCTGTGTCCAAAGGTGTATAGGTGTTAGGGTCAGAGGGCCAAGTGGAAGGTCAGATCCAGCATAGGAGTTAGAGGGCAGAGTGGAAGGTCATAGGCAACAGGGCGTTCAGAGCTCAGAGTGGAAGGTCAGAGCCAACAGGGCGTTCAGAGCGCAGAGTGGAAGGTCAGAGCCAAAAGAGGGGTTAGAGGGCAGAGTGTTTGATCCAACAGAAAGCCAGGCTTTACCACGTACATTGAGGGGCCATTTTCTGGTGGAAATCATTCTATAGCCGTCTTCTATTATGACATTTTGCTCTCAAAGAAGGGCATCTGTTAGCTGTTCATGGTGCTTTAAGTCTCCAAATGTTGTTCTTGCTGTCCAGAGAGTCCTGCTAATGTTTGTAGTGACTGCCAGGGTACTTCATTTTAGTAAGAGTTTACATTGCAACAGACTTTTCACCATTTCCTATACCTCTGAAATGTTGCACACTTTTAAAGACCTATGTGTGAAGCCTCTGTATGCTATAACTCATGCATATATTTCTTTTTAAAAAATTGTTTATTTTTGAGATTCTACCATTTTCCCCTTTACTATTTGCTTTAATTAATTACAGTTTTTTTACTTTGTATCCCAGCTGTAGCCCCCTCCCTCATCCCTTCCCAATCCCACTCTCCTTCCCTCATCCCCTTCCAATCCCATGCCCCTTCCCAAATCCACTAATAGGGGAGGTCCTTTTCCCCTTCAGTCTGACCATGGCCTATCAGGTTTCATCAGGACTGGCTGCATTGTCTTCCTCTGTGGCCTGGCAAGGCTGCTCCCCACAGGGGGAGGTGATCAATAAGCCAGCCACTGAGTTCATGTCAGAGACAGCCCCTGTTCCCCTTACTAGGAAAACCACTTGGAGACTGAGCTGCCATGGGCTACATCTGTGCAGGGGTTCTAGGTTATCTCCATGCATGGTCCTTGGTTGGAGTATCAGTATCAGAAAAGACCCCTGGGCCCAGATTTTTGGCTCTGTTGCTCTCCTTGTGGAGCTCCTGTCCTCTCTAGGTCTTTCTATCTCCCCCTTCTTTCATAGGATTCCCTGCACTCTGCCCAAAGTTTGGCTATGAGTCTCAGCATCTCCTTTGATACCTTGCTGGGTAGTCTTTCAGATATCCTCTGTGGTAGGCTCCTGTCCTGTTCCCTGTTTTCTTCCTCTTCCGACGTCCATCCAGTTTGCCTTTCTAAGTGAGTTATTTTATGTTATTAGTGGCTATTGTGAAGGGTATAGTTTCTCTATTTTCTTTCTCAGCCCTTTTTTCTTTCATATACAGGATGGCTGTATATGATTTTTTTGAGTTGATTTTGTATCCAGCCATTTTGCTGAAGGTGTTTATTAGCTGAAGGAGTTCTCTGGTTGAATTTTTGGGGTCGCTCAAGTATATTGTCATATCATCTGTGAATAGTGATACTTTGACTTCTTCCTTTCCGATTTGTCTCCCCTTGAGTTGTCTTATTGCTCTAGCTAGGACTTCAAGTACTATGTTGAAGAGATATGGAGAGAGTGGGCAGCCTTGCCTTGTCCCTGATTTCAGTGGGATTGATTTAAGTTTCTCTTCATTGAGTTTGATGTTAGCTATAGGCTTGCTGTATTTTGCCTTTACTATGTTCAGGTATGTGCCTTGTATCTCTGATCTCTCCAAGACTTTAAACATGAATAGGTGTTGGATTTTGTCAAATACTTTCTTGGCATCTAAGGAGACGATCATGTGGTTTTTCTTCTTCAGTTTGTCTATATGGTGGATTATATTGATGGATTTCCATATATTGAACCACCCCTGCATGCCTGGGATGAAGCCTACTTGGTCATGGTAGATGATATCTTTGATGTATTCTTGGATTTGGTTTGCAAATTGGATCAATGTTTATAAGTGAGATAGGTCTGAAGTTATCTTTTTTTGTTGGGTCTTTTTTGTTGGGTCTTTGTGTGGTTTAGGTATCAAGGTGACTATGGCTTCATAGAATGAGTTTGGTAATGTTCCTTCTGTTTCTATTCCTTTCTTTCTTCTAAACCCTCCCACATACTCCTCCTTGCTCTTTCAAATTCATGACATTCTTTTTAATTAATAGTTGTGACATGCATGTATGTGTATATACTTATTCCTAAAGAAGCTGCTCAGTCTGTATGTTACTTGTATTTTTGATTTCAGGACTGAACATTGGAGAATCAGTATGTTCTTCACTGAGGAAGACTGTTTCTCCCTCTCTCCATATTTCTTGGTTGCCTTTGTGTAGGTTTGAGGCCTAGTGGGCTTTCTCTTGTCCACGATCCTTTGTCTGTTGGTTGTCCATGTTTAGCTCATGTGTAGGCAGTCAAGTTAGTGATACTTTTGACTGTAGCTTTTGACATTACTAGGAGACCCTGTCCCACAGTAAACTCCTTGATATTCTGGTTCTTAAAGTATTTTCAGCTCCTCTTCCACAATGTTCCCTGAGCCATAGGTGTAGGCATTTTTCTTGTATTTCACTTTTTTTTTTTTGAGATGTATTTGTTTGGCTCCACAACTGAATGTTTGGATCATCTGTAATTTTATGTGATTGTCTCTGTTGCAAAAAGAAGTTTCGTTGATGAGGGATGATGACTAAACTTCTCTATGGGTATAAGGAGAAACATTTAGAAGGTAGTGTTAGAGATTATGCTAATTTAGAAAAGTGGTGGGTGTAGGTTCTTCCAAGATCCACGACTTCACTAGCCGTGGGTAGTTGGCTAGGTTTCCAATCCCAGACATGATTTCTTTCTTGTTGAGTCTTTGGGAGCTTATCAAAGTATGCTTGTCAATATTGCACCCTTACAGTTGTGCTGTGCTGCTCATTGTTGTGGCTCATGACAGAGTAGAACTTTTGGCTACTTTCCTTCTCTGTAAGCTTCCATGGTACCTTCTGTTACCATAAAAATTAGTCCCTAAGGGAAGAGGCATTCAGGGCATTTCCAGCTCAGGGGTCTCTGGGTCCTGTGTCTTAAGTGCCTAGGGTCTTTAGCAGTACAAACTCACCTTCCACTTCAGAGGAACAACCAAGGCATTAGCAATATTCTGTAATGTTTTGGGAGTCTTTTGGACCACCTTGACTCATTACTCAAAAGAGTAATGTGTGGTGTTCAAGGTTTTTGTTAGATTGTCTTTGGCTCTTGGAGGGAGCATTGACAGCAGAGGTGGGAATACTTCATTATTTTATTTAATTATAAAAACTTTATTATTTATTTAATTATACATGGATATTTATAGCCAGATTTGCATGTACTATAAATACATTTTTAGGTAGATAGTTAATAGTATGAGTCCTTATGCATTTTTTAGATAGTCTTACTGTTATTTTACCTCCTCCCTTCTTTTTTTAGAGTTATCTCTCTGCCTCTCCTTTTTTCTGTCACATCTTTATCTCATGTTAATTAAATTGCCTTTCAAAGTGCTATCTGAATTGTTGTATTCAATCTTCATGTTTTCTCCTACACAGTGTCAGTGATTTAATGTGTATACATGCCCTTTGAGGGTAAATAGTTATGGGTAATATCTGTACAAGTCTAGAATATTTCTTCCAGTAGTTGAGAATTTTGTGAGTTTGAGATTCTTCGATCCTCATTTGCAGCTCCATCTTTTTCTGTTATAATTTTGCCATCTAAGTAGCTTGAAATCATCTCCTTGAGACCTAGTATGTGTTTCTGTAGACAGGATACCTGCAATTAAACATTTTAAGACTGTAAGAATTTTTAACATCTATGAAAAATTTATATTAAAATATCTATTTCTGTGACGAATAGAACTGTGCATTTCTACTTACATGTATAAACATGGGCCTTGTATTTCCATGCCCTTTATATTTTCATTTGGTTACTCAGTAGTTATTTAGCTTGGAAATTAATAGTTTTTGGAAAGTAGGCTATTTTTTAATAATTGTTTTATTTAGTTAATTGATAATTATGTTCAGTTAGCAAAATTATCTCGTTTATAGCAGAACTTGAATTTTTTTCCCTAATAATATATATATATATATATATTTGGTATTTATGGTCTTGTCATTAAAATACAATGTAAAGCCTGCTATCTTAACTTGATGAAAGATATTATTTAATGATTTATGAACAGTACTCTTATTATGCAGCTTATGCTTTTTACCTTCCACAACTAAAACTTCATACATATGATAAAACATTGTCTTTCCATATTGGACCAGTTTCACACAGTCATTGTTAACTTTGTTTTCCTAGTTTGGCTACTTTGTAATTTTCATGTATATACACTCATTCAGTTTCTTTTTGTTTAATGGACTTTGTTCTTTTATCATAATTTCTGAAAGTTGTGTTACAACTTTTGTAGTTATTTTGAATTATGTAAATTTGAATTATGTTCTAATATTTCTGTAGTCTATTTTGTCATCATCTTATTTCAACTGAAGTTTAAATGATTTCCATCTACTGTATTTTCTAAATACAGGTACAGTGAATATAGGTGTTATAATGTATTATAGCTTATTTATAACAAATGAGAATAAGTCTCTATATTAAAGATAAGCTTTCTAATTATGACAAATGTTCCTAAGCTTGTCTTCTTTTACTCATCAGGAAAAAAACCCTTTAAATGTAAAGAATGTGGCAAAGCTTTTCCTAAAAAGTCAAACTATACTTATCACCTGAGAATTCACACTGGAGAGAAACCCTACAAGTGTAACATATGTGGGAAGGCCTTTTCTCTAGAGTTCACACTTAGAAGACACCAGAAAGTTCACACTGGAAAAAACTCTGACAAGTATGGCATATGTGGCAAGGCTTTTGCTGTGCGCTCCACACTTACTCACCACTATAATATTCACATTGGAGAGAAACCCTACAAGTGTGTCGTATGTGGCAAGGCCTTCAGTATGCCCTCCACACTTACTAACCACCAGAAAATTCATGATAAACCCTACAAGTGTGAAGTATGTGGCAAAAAGTTTTCTGCTTCCGCAGACTGTATAAAACACCGGAGGGTTCACACTGGAGAGAAACCCTACACGTGTGAAGAATGTAAAAAATCCTTTAGAACTCTTCCAGAGCTCATTAAACACAGAGTAGTCCATACTGGACAGAAACCCTACACCTGTGAAAAATGTGGCAAAGCCTATAGTAGGATTGATAACCTCCATCAACACCAGCAAGCTCATACTGCACAGAAATCCTACAAATGCAAAGAATGTGGCAAAATGTTTCGCTATTCCTCAGGCCTTACAAGACATCAAAGGATTCATTCTGAAGAGAGACCCTATAAGTGTGAGGAATGTGGCAAAGCCTTTCCCTGGCCTTCGGACCTTACTGACCATGCAAGAACCCATAAGAGGATGAAGCAGTACATCTGTGAAGAATGTGGTGAGTGCTTTACTATTCAAACAACATTTTCTAATGTCCGAAAATTTCGTCGAGAGGGAAAACCATCTAAATGTGAAAAATGTCGAAAGAGCCTTTAAAGGTTCATGGTTACATAAAGCACACAAAAGAGTTCAAACAGCTAGCCTGAAAATATGAAGGCCGTGGCGGATGTTTTGTGTATCATTCAGCTGTTGCTCAACCTCAAACAATTTATATCTGAGAGAAACCCTACACATGTTCAGAAAAGGACCATGGCTTATGTCATGTCTGTATACGAATTGAAGAATTCATTCTGATGAGGAGGTCTAAAAAAGCTATCAGTGTGGCAAGCTCTTTATCTGTTCTTCACACCTTAAGCATCCCCAGAGACTGCATACTGCAGAGGCACTTTCCACATACAAACGCTGTGCCTGAGCCTTGAATAATCATTCAGGTCTTCATCAGCATTGAGGAATTGCCGGAGGTGAGAAACCCTGCAAGTGCAGATGTCCTTGTTAGCTGTTGATGCCACATCACACAGCTCAGCATCATCTGTGGGTTTCTCACCTAGGTATTTGAATTGCTCAGGTTAGCCTATAGGCATATTTGGGGGACATTTTCTTCATTGCTAAGTGATGTACATTAGTCCATCCAAGGGTAAGGAGTGCCGTTCCAGGGCAAATGTTCCTGGGTTATGTAAGAATTCTGTGTGATAGAGCATATTAAAGAACGATGGAGCAAGCAAAGAAGGAAGTAACTTTTCTCTATGGCAGTAGGTCTCAACTTTCTTAATGCTGTGACCCCTTAATACAGTTCCTCATGTTGTGACCCTGAACCACAAACTTATCTTCAGTGCTACTTCATAACTCTAATTTTGGTAGTTATGAATCATAAATAGATGATATGCAAATGACCCCTCAACCCACGGGTTGAGAACAGATGCTCTGTGGTTTCTGCTTTAGCTTCTGCTCTGGCTTCCCTGGATACCAAAACTAAGCTGAAGCAAACCTTTCTTCCCTAAGTTGTTTGGGGTCATGGCATTTGCCATGGGAAGACAAATCAAAGTGAGACAGCAGTGAATGTGTGAAGGATTTTAACCCTTCCTTATACTTACTAGACTCCATGTGGGAGATGAGGACACACAGCCTTTAGATTTGTTCGAGCTTCACTGGAGACCAGAGCATTCACATTGAGGAAAGCCCTATTTATACAAAGAATGTGGTGGGAGTTGACCTAGAGCCACTGTGTATTCAGGTGTTAATTGCTTGCCCCTGAGAGTCTTCCTGTTCTATGAGCAATCCCCCACATATACCAAAATGACATTTATGTGACCTTGCCCCCCAAATTATTCCTATCAGCTGAATAAAGTGCTGACACTGGGCTGAGTGGGTTAGAGGGGGCAAAGCGAAGGTTCATGGAGAGACAGGAGACAGGTAGAGGAGAGAGGAGGAGCGAGGGTGTAGAACTACAGAAGAAGCACGTGGCTGGGCGGAGCCTCCTTCATGGAAAGGCTTGATGGCGGAAAGCAGCCCACATGAGAAACATACATGAGTATTTATGGAAATTTTGGATGGCAAGTAACCCAGATAGAATCATTAGAGCAGTTGGCAGGGGATTTGGGGCTGGGAGGATAAAGTGTACCTTAGGAGGTTAGTTTTTGCCTCCTCCAATGTATAGGCATATTAAAAATATAACAGGTGTCTGTCTTTTATTGACATGGTAGCAGGTTAAATAATCTTGCCACAGTAATTATAGGCTACTAACAGTAAACAGCCCGTTTTTTATATTCATCAACAGACTATAATGATTTTTTTAATTGATTGTGCTTAATTAAACATTGAATAACTCTTACTAGAGAAGAACTTTGTAAGAGCAAAGATAATGGATAACTATTGAACAGTGTTCTACTCTCGTGTGGTATTTTAAATTTATACATATGAGAAACTCTGCAAATCCAGGTATGAAGAGAAATTATTTATTCTTTATACTTAAGAGAATTTGTTTTGTTGAGACACCTCCTCCGAAAAGGCTGCACCTTCTAATCCTTCCTAAAGTGTTCACCAGCTGAGAACCAGACATCCAAATATATGAGCCTCTGGGGTCCATTCTTATTCAAACCGCCAGATCATACTCTGAGCCAGAGTATGCTCTTTCTTTCAAATTGCTCTTATATTTTATCACAGTAACTGGAAAAGTTACTAATAAAAATAAAAGTGTTATTTGACCTTTAATACATATACATGAAAGTGTTTTCTTTCTATTTTTTCTTTATTTCCTCATTGCCCCTTTATTACTCTATTCTCTTTCTAAACTGTTTCAGTACATACACACACACACCACCATGCACACACAGTCACAGATGTGATAAATAACTTTTCTGCAAAAGTGCAGAAGAAAGAAAAGTGATGTGGGTGTTGAACTATTAGTTACAATGATACTTTTTGCATTTCAGTGTTACATTAATATCTTTCATCCAGCTTGAATTTATTTTTGTAGGATAAGTGGAATAGATCTAATTTTATTCTTCCTTTTAGAAGAATTTGGATATCCAATTTTGCCAGCATTATTTGTTGAAAAGGCTGTCTATTCAGGCACATACTTTTGTAAATTTTGTCAAATATTATGTGTCCTTTACCTTAGTGTTTTCTCTCTAGGTAGTATTTTATATTCCATTATTTTCATGTTTGTTTTAGGGGAGTGCCATGTTATCCTTATCACTATGGCTATGTAGGATAGTTTGAGGTTGTTAGGTAATATACATTTGACTGTTCTTTATGCATAAATTGCTTTGCTTATATGTGGCCATTTTTATTCTTTGGTTAAGGTTTGTCTCCTTTAAAAAAAATTTAAGACTATGGTGACTAGGTGCTATTTTTTTTTAATAACTTTCTTTGAAAGTATCTTGTTGGTGTATACAAAGGTTAATGATACTTTGTTAATTTTGTGAACAGCTATTTTACTGATAGTGTTTATCTATGTCTTAGTTAGGGTTTCTATTGCAGTAGAAAACACCATCACCAAAAGCAAGTTGGGGAGGAAACAGTTCATTTTATTTTACACTTCCAGGAACAATCCATCACTGAATGTACTCAGGGTAGGAAATCAGGTAGGGCAGTTCCTGGAGGTAGGAACTGTAGAGAGCCCTTGGATACTGCTTACTGCCTTCCTCTGCATGGCTTGTTCAGCTTCCTTCCTCCCTTCCTTCCTCCCTCCCTCCCTCATTCCCTTCTTCCCTCCCTCCCTCCCTCCCTCCCTCCCTCCCTCCCTCATTCCCTCCCTTCCTCCCTCTCTCCCTCCCTCCCTCCCTTCTTCCCTTCCTCCCTTCCTTCTTTCCTTCCTTTCTCTCTCCCTCTCCCCTCTTTCCTTTCTCTCTTTTTTTCTAAAGTGGAATTCATCCCAGGGTCTTGCCCACGCTAGACAAAGCTGAAAGTATGAACCACACTGTGTTGTACAAGGCTCTTGTTGGAATAACACTAGCACAGGGGCTAGGCACAGAGTAGGTGAAGAGTTGGACCTAGCCAGGGTTTGGAGGCCTGGTGGAGGAGGGGCAGGGTATGACACATTGACAGAGCCTGGATCCCAATCAGGGAAAGGACTCAGAAAGCCTGAGGCAGTATGGGCTGTAGTCTTTTTGGTTCCAGAAACTACAGGGAGTCAGACTTCTGGAGAAGAAATGGGGTTAGGGCACAGAAAGAAGGCTGCATATGTTTCTAGAGGTAGCACTGTGATGGGTAATGATGAGGTTTAAGGAGTTCTCTGCCTGGACAGTACAACATGGAAGCGAGAGACAAGTTTTCATGGGTTTCCCTGGTTGATGCTGACTTTGCCCAGAAATGTCCAGAGTCATTTGAGGACAAATGGGTCAAGGGGCCAAGACGATGCATAAACAAGGAAAGTAGCTGCTAGAATGACAACAGTAAGCAGGATGCCGTAGTAGGTGTGAGGTAAAGGCCCATCTTTCATAAGAGCAAAGGTTCTGAGGAAGGAGACATCATGTGTAGAATAGCAATGTTAAGCTTGTTCAGGTCCTTCCTTCCTTCCTTCTTTTCTTCCTTCCTCTTCCTTTTCTTCTTTCCTTACTCCTTTTTCTTTCTTTCTTAATAAATATTCTTATTTTAACTAAAAATTGTTTATGTGCATTGGTGTTTTGCCTGTATGTATGTGAGGATGTCAGAATCCATGAAACTGGAGTTGTGGATTATGAGTTGCCATGTGGGTGCTGAGAATTGAACCTGGCTTCTCTAGAAGAACAGCCAGTGCTCTTAAACATGAAGCCATATCTCCAGCCCCTCAACATGCTTTTTTAATAGCATGCATGACCTCCAGACCAGTTGTGACACTGCCCACAGTGAGTTGAGCCCTCCATCATCAGTCCAATCTTGGACCTGACTGTGTCTAAAGGGATCAACAAGCATTTACAGTCCCACAAATCTCTCCTGACCTACCTCACCTTCACACAGGAGTGGGCTGGATTATGCTCTGCCTCAGCTGAGCCCCATTCAAGCCTAATGGGCCCCCAGTAGGCTTGGTGCAAGGGGCTGATGATCAGAGGCCCAGACCTTCTTTTCTAATTAATGGTTCTTCTTTTGACCAGTGGTCTGGAATATCAGGATGCTTCCTTCTCTGAGAAGCTTCAGGCCTGTTGGGAACTGCCACATCTCAGTCCTCCCTTACTTAAGGGATCAAACCATGACTGAAGCCAGGAAATTGGTAGTGGGTCTCAGGGTAACCAGGGTAGATGCAGAAAGATGGATTGAGTGTATATTTCCTCAACTTTATCAATCTGGATCCCAATCCTGACCAAGGTAAAGGGCACTAGATACTTATAGCCAGGCCCTACTGACTGGTAAACACTGGAACCTGGATATCACTGAAGTTACTCTGACAAGTTTGGCTACTGATATTTGCTAGGTTTTTACAGTGAGCTTTTTAGGATGGGTAGAAGCTATTTCCACCAGATCAAAAATGGTTAATATAGTTGCCAGGAAGTTACTGACGGAGATCACCACATATTTGGCCTTTTCTACTCTTTAGAGTCTAACAATAGCTCAATATTCACTGCCAAAGTATCTCAGCAAGTGGTTTAAACTCTAGGAATGCATTGGAACTTACATTGTGTCTATGTGTCCCAAAGCTCGGGACAGATAGAGCTAACAGGACTATTAAAGGACTATTAACTAAATTCATTGCAGAAACTGGTAGGGGGTAGACTGAGATGCTCCCTACATTCTTTGAGGACCAGGTGCCGTCTCTACAGGGACAAGCCAACACCACTCTAATTGGCACCAGTCTCTTTTGTCTTGGTCCAAATGGTTTACCACCCTTTTAGCTGCCATAGCTAGACTTATTCTTTTTACTATTTATTGATGTTCCGATCAGCCCTTGCATTTTAAATTGGTTACTAACAGACATTTAAAAAGAATCAGTTCTGTTAGGACATTAGCCCTACAGGCTCTTTATCAACTGTACCTCCACATGAGTTAATTTGATTCATATGATCTAGAGGAATGTGATGACTAAAGAAACCCATTTTGTGCTAGACATCTAACTGGGCACCGAATAGCAGTTTGTCACTGATTCAAGTTCCTGGAAGATAAGGTGCCAGCAACCCTAACAGCCTGACCCGACTCAGAAATGTTCAGCCATGACCATCTGTTTGTTGTGACATGACTAACTGCTGATTTAATTTCTTTAGCTTGCTTATGTAGTCATTCAGTCTATTTTGAGGTCACCTTGATAATTCAGTTTTGGCAGAGCAGAGTAGCTCTTCACCTACCTCTGGGCACATTTGGGTTAGAGACTGTGGTCCTGCTATCAGATTTAATAAATTTGTTTAATTATAATCTGAGTTGAGTCTGGGAATGTTTACCCTGTGGTTATAAACTCCATAGCACTTAACAGCATTAATTATCCTACTAGAAAAAAAGTTTCACTTCAGTGCTTTGGGTATCTTGTTAATTACAGCAGATTCTTCAGCCCCAGCTAAGAACCACAGTTTCTGAACTCAAAATATGCAACAGCCCCCTTAGATTCTTCAAGTGGCTCTCAAACTTCCTTCTGAACTTTACCCGAAAGGCTTTCATACTCTGCATTTCTTTCAAGATTCTTATCTACCAGGCTCCCATAGAACAGCTCACCAAATTTTGGATTCTCAGTTTTTTTTCTAGCCCAAAGTTCCAAGTCCTTCCACAATCTTCCCCAAAACAACATGGTCAAGTCTGTCTGATCAGTTTCCCACAATCCTGGTACCCCAACTTCTGTCCTAGTTAGGATTACTATTTCTATGATGAAACATGATCAGAAAGAAGTTTGGGAGTGTATTCTAGACTAACAATTTACTGAATGACTATACATAGAAAAGAGATTTATTAGAATGACTTACAGACTGTAGTCCAACTAATCTAATGATGGGTGACAGCGAATGGAAAGTCCAAGAATCTAGTAGTTGGAATCTCAAAGATGTAGTTCTGATGCCAGTGAGGGAATTGACTTGCTGGCAAGATGAGAGCAAGTAGGCAGAGAGCAAAAGCATCCCATGTCTTTATGTAGCAGTGGTTCTCAACCTTCCTGATAATGCAACCCTGATGATGTTCCTCATGTTGTGACCTCCGACTATAAAATTATTTTTGTTGCTTCTTTATAACTAATTTTGCTGTTATGAATCATAATGTAAATATGCGGTGTGCAGGTGGTCTGAAGTGATCCCTGTAAAAGATTCCAAGGGGGTTGAAAACCAGTTATATAGGCTTTTAGTAGAAGGTGCAGTCCAGATTAAAGGTGTATCTTCCCACCTCAAGATTGGGATCAAAAGCACATGAATTTTTATCGCAAAAGTCTGGATTAGAAGTGGATTCATTTACTTTTAAGTTAAAAAAAAATCACTCACAGATAGGCCCTCCATTTCTAGATTCTAGGTAATTCCAGGAGTAGTCAAGTACCAAGAATACACAGGGACAGAGGGTTTATGTGTGTTATATGTCTGGAATACTGCCCATTGGAGGAAGCCAAGGTAGGAACCCAAACAGGGCAGAAACCTGGAGGTAGGAACTGATGCATCGGCCATGGAGGGGTGCTGCTTACTTGCTTGTTCCTTGTAGCTTTTTCAGGATGCTTTCTTACTGAACCCAGGACCACCAGGTCATGGTTGGTACCACCGTGGTACCAACCATGGTCTGGGTACCTCCACCTTATAAATTATTTATTGAGAAAATGTCCTACATGCTTGTCTACAGCCCACTCTTTTGGAGGTATTTTCTCACTTGAGGCTCACACCTCTCTGATGACTTTAGCTTTTGTTAAGTTGACATAAAACCTGGTATAATGAGTTTCTCCTGGTTATAAAACAAAATATTCTGATGTTTCCACTGTCTCAGCTGAGAAATAATTTCATTGTGGATCAGTGTCGATGGCATGAAAATGAACTCTCTCCTCTCCTAGGGTTTGTAGTTGGGTCTCAGGAATAAACACACCTGAGATGGGGGAGTCCCGTTACTCCATGGTGTTAATCTAGCCTTTTTATTGCAATGAGCTTATTTTATATTAACAATGGTGCCTTTTTATCAAAGGAAGAATAATTTCTGTGTTCTGAGATAGGACAGTGAAGTTTAAGTAAAAACATACCCTTTAAAACTGCCACACAGGAGGAATGCCAGGAGTAGAAAAGGTAGAGAAGTTGAATAGGGCAGGTCCGACCTAATATGGAGTCAAATCCTATGATGGATGGTGTGTTGGGAGTCAGTGCACACACCATGCTATACTGATCTCAAGGCCAGTTTTCCTCCCTTTGGGAGAGGAGCAGGGAACTCAGAGAACACCTGGTGGCGGATCCTTGCCTGAGTTTGTTAGCAACCAGAGAGAAGTGGGTTGTTCTCACAAAATTAAATTGTTTATGCAGATTAATGGATGAAAGTGTGGACAAGGGACTGTGGACACATGAGTATCAAAGGAATTAAACAGCTCTCACAAAATTAAATTGTTTATGCAGATTAATGGATGAAAGTGTGGACAAGGGACTGTGGACACATGAGTATCAAAGGAATTCTGGGGCTTAACTATAGGTAATAAGAGATATCTGTGTCCCCTGGCCCATGCCCCAAACTAGATTTTATTGTACACACTAAAACCATTTTTTTCCTCATTGATTTATTTGTAGTAATGGTTATTAACCAAGGCCTACTTAACTTTATGCAGGTGCTTTACCAATAAGTAGCCCTTTGATCTCTTCTGGTACTTTGTAATTTGGGACATAGACTTGTGATTATTTTGTCTCAAACCCCAGAGTACCAAGGGTATAGAAAACTTGGTTTCAAAAACAATCCTAAAGAGTTTGTGGTATGAGTAGGAGTATAACAGGTCTCCTTTCCAAGGTGGTAGCACCCAGTGGAGTCTTAGTGCCAGAAGCACAATGTCACAGGAACCAGGAAATATTTTCAAGAAAATGATAGAAAATCCTAAACCTAAACAAACAAACAAAAAACAGATGCCTTTAAACATACAAGAGGCTTACAGAATACCAAATAGATAAGATCAGAAAAGAAACTCCTCCCACCACACAATAAATGTGGTGGACAAATGTATAGGACAAAGAAAAAAATATTTAAAGCTGCAAGGGAAAAGGTCAAGTAACATATAATGCAGACCTATCAGAATCATACCTGACATCTCAATGGAGACTGTAAAAACCAGAAGGGCCTGGGCAGATGTTTTGCAGAACTTAAGAGACCGCAGGTGTTAGCCCAGGCTACCCAGCAAAACTTTCAATAACCATAGATGGAGAAAACAAAATATTCCATGACCAAACCAAATTTAAACAATATCTATGCACACACCCAACCCTACAAAAGATACTAGAAGGAAAACTCCAACCTTAAGAGGTCAACTACACCCAAGAAAACATAGGATATAAATAACTTCAACAAAACCAAAAGAAGACAAGCACACAAACACACTATCTCCAACAACTCCACCATAAAAAGAACTAACAATCATTGGACCTTAATATCTCACAACATCAAAGGATTCAACTCATCAATAAAAAGACACAGGTTAAGAGAATGGATGTGTAAACAGAACCCAACATTCTGTTGTATACAAAAAATGTACCTCAGCAACAAAGATAGATACTACTTCAGAGTGAAGGAAGGGAAAAAGGTTTTTTAATTAAACTGACCCAAGAAGCAAACTAAAGTAACCATTTTAATATCTAGTAAAAATACTTTCATCCAAAATTAATCAAAATAAATGGGAAGGGACACTTCATTCTCATCAAAGGAAAATCCCACCAAGAGGACATCTCAATCCTTAACATCAGTGCCCTGAATACAATGGCACCCACATTTGTAAAAGAAACATTATTAAAGCTTAAATCACACATTGATCCCTACACATTAATAGTGGGAGACTTTAACACCTCATTCTCCTCAGTGGACAGATCACTGAGACAGAATTAAGTAGAGAAATAGTGAAACTAATAAATGTCATGAATCAAATACACCTAATAGATGTCTACAGAACTGTTAACCCAAACACAAAAGAATATCCATTCTTCTCAACACCACATGGAACCTTCTCCAGAATCGACCTAATAGTTGTTCACAAAGCAAACCTGAAATGGCATACACATACACACACACACACACAAAATGAATTAAGCCATTGTACTTTTATCAGATCATCATGGATCAGATTACAACAGAAATAACAAAAAGCCTACTCACGGAAACGGACCACTGGGTCAGGGAAGAAATAAAAAAAGGAATTCAATGAAAATTAAGGCACAACATACCCAAACTTAAATGGGACAAAATGAAAGCAGAAAGAGGAGAAAGAATTAAGAGGAAACTAAGAGGAATCTAAGTTCATGGCACTAAGTGCCCTCAAAAACAAGTTGGAGAGATCCCATACTAGCAACTTAACAGTTCGCCTGAAAGCTTTGGAAAAAAGGGGGAAAAAAGTAGCAAACACACCCAAGAGAAGTAGACAGCAGGAAATAATCAAGCTCAGGTTGAAATCAATAAATCAGAATAAAAAGAACAATACAAAGAATCAACAAAACCAAGAGTTGGTTTTTTGAGAAAATCAACAAGGTAGGCAAACCCCTACCTGAGATAACTAAAAGGAAGAGGGACAGTATCTCAATCAACATAAGCAGGAATGAAAAGGGAGGCATAACCACAGACACTGAGGAAATCCAAAGAGTCATTAGGTCTTACTTCAAAAGCCTGTATTCCACCAAAGTAGAAAATCTAAATTAGGTCAAAAATTTTCTTGATTGATTCCACTTTCCAAAGTTAAAATAAGATCAGGAAAACAAGTTAAATAGTCCTATAACACCTAAGGAAGTAGAAGCAGTCATCAAAAGTGTCCCATCAACAACAAAAACAAAAAACGAAGAGAGAAAACAAGCAAAAAAACCCAAGGACTAGACAGTTTCAGTGTAGAATTCTACTAGACTTTCTGTGAAGACCTAATATCAGTATTCCTCAAGCTATTCCACAAAATAGAAACATAAGGAACATTGCCAAACTCATTCCATGAGGCCACAGTCACCCTGATACCTTAACCATACAAAGACCCAATAAAGAGAATTTCAGACCAATTTCTCTTATGAATATTGATGCAAAAATACTCAATAAAATAATCGTAAACGGCATCCAAGAACACATCAAATATATCATGCACCATAATCAAGTAGGATTCATCCCAGGCATGCAGGGGTGGTTCAACATATAAAAATCCATCATGTAATCCACAATATAAACAAACTTAAAAAAGAAAACCACACGATCAACTCATTAGATGCTGAAAAATCATTTGACAAAATCCAACATCCCTTCATGTTAAAAGTCTTGGAAAGATCAAGGATACAAGGCACATGCCTAAAAAATAATAAAGGCAATATACAGCAAACCTATAGCCAGCACAAAATTAAATAGAGAAACTTAAAGCAATCCGACTGAAATCAGGGATAAGACAAGGCTGCACATTCTAATTATGTCTCTTCAATACAGTACTTGAAGTCCTAGTCAGAGCAATTAGACAACCAAAGGAGATAAAGGGGATACAAATCAGGAAGGAAGAAGTAAAATTATTGTTATTTGCAGATGATATGATAGTATACATAAAGCACCTGACAGATTTCACCAGTGAACTCCTACAGCTGATAAACACCTTCAGCAGAGTGGCTGGAAACAAGATTAATTAAAAAAAAAATCAGTAGTGCTGCATGATACAAAAGACAAAAGGGCTGAGAAAGAAATTAGGGAAACAACACCCTTCACAATAGCCACAAAAGACATAAAGTGCCTTGGTGTGTCCCTAACCAAGCAAGTCAAAGACTTGTATGAAAAAAATTTCAAGTCTCTGAATTAGAATTAGAAAGAATTAGAAGAAGATATCAGAAGATGGAAAAATCTCCCATGCTCATGGCTTGGCAGGATTAACATAGTAAAAAATGGCCATCTTACCAAAAGCAATCTACAGATTCAATGTAATCCCCATCAACATTCCAATACAATTCTTTGCAGACCTAGAAAGAACAATTTTAAACTTTATATGGAAAAACAAAAACCCAGAACAATTAAAACAATTCTATTCAATAAAAGAACATTCCATCCCTGACTTAAAGCTGTACTACAGAGCAATGGCAATAAACACTGTATGGTATTGGTATATAAAAAGGCAATATGATCAGTTTGAAGACCCAGAAATAAACCCACGCACTGATGGACACTTGATTTTTGACAAAGGAGCCAAAACCATACAATGGAAAAGAGACAGCATCTTCAACAAATGGTGCTGGTCTAACTTGATGTATATATGTAGGAAAATACAAATACGTCCATTTTTATCACCCTGCACAAAGCTCCAGTCCCAATGGATTAAAGACCTCAACATTAAACCTAGATACACTAAGTCTACTAGAAGAGAAAGTGGAGAAAAGCCTTAAACTCATTGGCACAGGAGACAACTTCCTCAATAGAATGCCAGCAACTCAGGCTCTAAGCTCAACAATTAATAAATGGGACCTCTTGAAACTGACAAGTTTCTATAAGGCAAAGGACACTGTCAATGGAATGAAAAGGTGGTCTACAGATTAAGAATTCCTATGAAGGGCTAATATCCAAAATATATAAAGAACTCAAATTATACACCAAGAAACAAACAAACAAAAATCCAATTAAAAATGGGACACAGAACTAAATGGAATTCTCAACAGAGGAATCTTGAATGGCCGAGAAACACTTAAATGCTCACCATCCTTAGTCATCAGGGAAATGGAAATCAAAATGCTTGAGATTCCATTTTACATCCATCAGAATGGCTGAGATCAAAAACTCAAATGACAGTATATGCTGGTAAGGATGTGGAGAAAGGGGAATACTCCTCCATTGCTGGTGGGATTACAAACTTGTACAATCACTTTGGAAATCAATCTAGTGCTTTCTCAGAAAATTGGGACTAGATCTACCTCAAGACCCAGCCATACCATTCCTGGACATAAAACTGTAATGCTTCACTATACAACAAGGACATTCACTCAATTATGTTCATAGCGGCTGTATTCATAATAGCTAGAATCTGGAAACAACCCAGATATCCCTCCACCAAAAAATGGATAAAGAAATTGTGGCCCAATGGATAAAGAATTGTGGAATACTACTCAACTATTAAAAGCAAGGAAATCATGAACTTTGCAGGCAAATGGATGCAACCAGAAAAGATCATTCTGAGTAAGGTCACCTAGGCCCAGAAAGACATACTTAGTATGTACTCACTTAAACGTGGATTTTAGCCACATAGTGAAGTGTAGACACACTACAATTTACAGACCCAAAGAAGCTAAGTAACAAATCAGAAGGGGAAGTAGAATAGAAAGAGTGGCTGTGTTATGCCAGGTTCACGGGACCCTCAGAGACCACCAGGAGATGACTCGATGCAATTGCAAGAGAGCTTTATTATGAAAGCGATCGAACTCGGGACCCAAGTCTCACCGGCACAGCAGTAGAGAAGTGGGACCCCGAACTCTGAGTGAACAGGATTTTTAAAGGGAAAGTCTGTGAGCGGGGGGTTTCCATGGCAGCAAGCAGGGGGGCACAAGCCTTGGCGTTACAGAATTGGGTGAAGTTTAGCAGGGCGGGGTGACCTTTTCTGAGGCACATAATCACAATGGCTAAGGCATATAATCACAATGGCTATTTTTCTAAACCATATCTGAAACATTGGGGAGAATTTTCTCACCCGATTCTCAACCGATTCCCATTAATTATTGCCAGGGAGTTTGTCTCTATTTTCTATGAAGCATTTATTCTGTTATATTTCCTGGAGGCTGTTGCTAGGAGAGTTAATTTTGTTTTCTGACAGGTGTACATTTTGTGATATTTCCTGGTACCTGAATTCAGTTCCCAGTCAAGATCTTTATTTCAAAATGGAGTTATATTCAGGCTATCTTAAGCTCTTCAGCTGAAGAGAGGGAACAAGGGAGGAGAGGGCTCACAGAGAGAAATGAGGGTGGAGACCAGACCTGCAGAATGTGGAAGGGTGGAGGACAGAGGGCCTACAGAGAGAAAAGAAACCATGGGCATGGACATCTCTGTGACAAGCTGGAGACCTACCACAAGATAGGCTTCTGGGAGGATGTGTGGGTGACTAGCTGAGACACCTAGTAGCAGGATTTTTAAAGACTGAAGAGGACACCCTCTAACTAGACAGGACTCCCAGTGGAGGGAGGGGACCACCAACTCAACCACAAAAACTTTGACTCAAAATTTACCTTGCCTAAAAGATGTGCATGGATAAAGACAGAGCAGGGATAGAATGTACAACCAATGCCTGGCCCTTCCTGAGACCCACCCCGTGGGTGACAGCCAACCCCTGATACTATTAATATTATGCTATGCTCACAGTCAGGAGCCTAGTATAGCTGTTGTCTGAGAGGCTCCACCCAGCAGCTGAGACTCACAGAAAAACATTGGGCGAAGCATGGGGTGTCTTGTGGAAAAGTGGGGGGAAGGCTAGAAGGAGCTGGAGGTGACAGGAGCTCCAC